GCCACCGTTCGAGTACCTCAGACTTATTGCTTCGGAATGAATTGATTGTTTATTGGAAGTAAATCGATCAATCGGTTCAAGTCACTGTTCGTGATAAGCACCGGGCTTTTAAGTTGTGGTGTCTCTGTCGCCCGGATCAACACTATGCTCATCTTAGTGAGGTCTGAAGTGGTGTATCAGAACTGAGGTTGCTTGTATGCATAGGTGATCATATGATCTTCGTAACCACGGAAATTACTTCTTCATTCCAGAGATTGGGGATATTTGGATTTAGTAGTAGTGTGCAAAACTAACTGAAACAAAAACAGATTGATGCTAATAAAAACTGAATAGGGAAGAACTAAGAAGTAGACTTCATACAGCAAATGAACGCACCCGAGAATCCAGAGAGTCGTTCTGTCGGCGTAGAGTTTCTACGCAATGTGTGTGGTCTCGATTTGACTTGTGCAACTCTTCAATATACTCTACAGCCCGCTGTAGTATGACAGCACGAGATGCCTTTGAGCCTCGCAGGCTCGGTATAGCCTCGCGCAGGTCATTGTAGCTGGTCTTGATACTAGCACGGCGCTTGCGTTCTAGTTGGTTGTGGTGATCACGTCTGAATAGAGTATGCAAAAGACTCGAATATGAAAAACATTTGAAGAATTTTCCATTTAGATTAGATTCCGTTAGCCATACAAGGATAAACCGCTCACAAAATAGAACACTTAGATCACTTAGATTTGATCACAACAGGCGTGCCTTCCTGCGAAAATGGATCTCAAGCATAGCATAAATAAACAAGTCCATACTGATAAAAAGAAATCAAGCCGATCCCAAAAGCTCGGATGGTGGAATAAAGTTGTTATATTGCATTGGCAACCGAAATCCTAATCAGTTTTTATAAAAATGTATCGTTCCCTAAACAGGTGGTGAGAAAATTTAAGACTGAGATCAATATCACACCTAAACTAACGGGGCCTTATGTAGTTCGCCACTCGAAGTCCCGGGGCTTAGGTTACCGGTTTCCATGATGGGGCAGCAGATCTTCGAGACTATGGGGTTCAGCCCGTCTGCAGTTCACCGCACAAACGTGTAATAAAGAAAATCCTGGTTCTCCCTCTCGGTGGAGTTTTCTCCAAGATCGTCACGTAGAGCGCAGTTTTCTACTATATCTGAGTGTTAGCAATGCGAAGAACTGAAATGAAATTTTAACCTCCATCGAATGACTCAGCTCATCATCTTATTCTAAGAAGAATGATGATTCTTGGATAACAAGTACCGTTACTTCGCTCCATTGGACAGTTGGTCCTGAATCAACACTTGGGGCTGTATTCTGGCATCCACAGGACGGACTTGAGGATATCCAGAAATAGCAGACATTCGTTGCTTGTGTGTATCGTTTTTACGGACACTGCGGCTTGATGTGGCACGGTGGCTTGTGCACAACTGTGACGCAATGAGTTGCACCAGATGGCCGTTATGAAACCGAATGTTTAATTAAATTAATTAAATTAAAGCCATAGGTAAATTTCAGATTGCGTTCAATCTCTTGATTCTCCGAGTGGTTGGTTCGAACTGAGTTGGTATTTTAGAAGACCGTGAACGAATAATTGATCCGGACAGACGTAAGTTCGTGTTGCTTTACTTACAGCTGTGTTTAGACTCCGATTCGAATGACGGTACGCGACTGAACACGTAACCTTGTTTCTGTTTGGAGATTGTTCTTGGTTGTAGTACCTATCCACCAAACTCCAATGAATACACAATACACATACCAGTCGCCGAGCAGAATATTCAGGACAGCGCTGCCAATAGAATCGGGTGCAGGGTAGTGACACGCGAAATACTGCTCCAATACCTCAGTCCCCAATTTTTTGTCTTCGCTGTTTGCACAAATCCCAGACCGAATTCAAGAAGCTTGTTTCTCCAAAGTTCAGCGGTAGTATGTTTACATACTTTTGCGGTATTGCTTGGCAAAGGAGCAAACACAAGGGATTCGCGGTCAACTGAGTCGAAGGCTTCTTTTAGGTTAAGGAATGCGACAACCGTTGGTCGACGGTGTATGACATGGTTGGAGGATTTGATGTAGCGTGAAAACCTGATCGAAATCCTGCTTGTGGTTCGCGGATATGTGCCTTCCTTAAAGGTGATAAACGTCGAAGTATGACTGTGGCTAATAACTTGATGACGACTAGGATCAAACCTATTCCACGGTGATTTGAGCAGTCGGTGCGAGATCACTTTAAAAACTGGAACGATAAGAGATACGCTCTAGGGTGATGGAACGCGCTCTTTTAACCAGATGTTACGCATTAAATTGGTAGTGGAATCTACAAGATCATCGCCTCTCACGTTGAAAACAATGGGAGGAAGCCCGTCCGGTCCAGCTGTTTTCCCTTCCTCAGGGCTTAGATGCTAGATCGTGCTTCCGCTTCAGTAGGAGATTCACATGACACTGCCCACGGAGCTTGAACCACGTCCGATGATATAGTCTGGTCAGTGCTTGGCTAGCTGAACTGTTCACTGAAGTACTCCGCCCACTGGTCGAGCCGTTGTTCCCTACCGTGAATAGCTTGCCCACTTTTGTCGCAGACTGTTTCATTAACTGTGGTTCGCCGACCTGTGTTGTTTCAGTTAGAATAATCATTGGCTATTCCCTGATGCAGCTGCTACTTTCATTTCACCAGCTATTGTTGCCCACCGATTTTCACGGTCATTCCTGGGACACTTCGTGAGCTGACGCTGCAGACGCCCCCTGCCTTGCTTTGATCCAGGGCTGTCAGGATTGGCCGCTTTTTCTCCATAAGTGCTACTGACTGGTCATATATCCTATGCCTCGGACGGGCTGCTGCTTCAGATCCACAAGCAACGCTCGCTGCGGAATGCATTGCTCGTCTAATCTGAACCCATTATTCATTTACACCACGCTGCAGCATGTTTAACTCTTGCCCTAGTTCTGATTCAAAGCGGGCACAAACGGTTGGATCAGAGAAGCGATGGTCTGAGAATCGAGTTTGGTGGGTTTTTCCGCAACCAGTGAGTCGAAGCGTCAGATGCTTGATCAGACTCAACGCACGGCCTGAGATTTTGCAGTCACACCAACGGCAGCTTACTGCTATGTGGTCGATTTGAGTTAGCGTACCACGTTGACGTTCGTTGAGCTGCCGCAGGTTTATATCGGATAGAAACAGATGGTGATCTGCGCAGAATTGAGGAAGTCGATCGTTGTTGGCTGTTCGTTGGCAGGGTAGAGCACAGCGACCGCCCAGGCAGGCTTCTGATGCGATGTTTTCCAACTAGTGCGTTAAAATCACCGGAGAGCATAGCTATATCCGACCTTCGATTCAACCGCATGAGTTCGGGGAGTTTGTCATGAAAATCGTCTTTTTGTGAGTAAGAACTACGGTTGGTAGGTGCATATGCTGAAATAATGAACAAACCCTTTGGTGTTACTTCCCTTTCGGAAGCTGATAGACCCTTGGAGGCGCATCACACATAACTGACTGTTGACAAGAATCCAATTGATTAGTCACGCTTCAGCTGTATTTTTGAATACAATCCTCACGCCACGCGGGGCTTCGTTGTCACCTTACGTGCGGAGGAACTACTTCGAAGACCAATACGGTGTACTAAAGTGGTTTATCGAACTAGGATTATATAATCGGGTTTCCGATACGCAGCAGATGTCAACGGGTAGACTCTAGTATACGCACCAGACTAGATTGCTGTTTCAGTTTCAGATTCAGTTTCTACAACCATTAACCATAGACTATCGTGCGCCGGTTTTGGTTGTCTTTTAGCTGCCCATTTGGATGAACATAAGGAGAAAGACAGGAAGGTTTGAAAGTAGGATCCAAGAGAAACCTTAGGATTTCCCTCCACAAAAACGATTTCAGTCTTAGGACGCAACAAACAGCGTTTATTCCGTGGGGTTGTCCGGCCCGTTAGGACAAAACGCAATTGGAAGGCGATTTCAGCCATCAGCCTCCGAAATCCTCAATATGTCCGGGGATGGGTCCTGGATTGTTGCTGGTTATCGTTAGCTTGCACCTCGCGAAATACTTCTATATGACCAATCGTCTCAAATAGCCTCTGTAGAGGAGGCTCTACTCACTGCTTTCCCTTGGTGTTTACCCACCAAATGGCTGAAACCGGGTCGGTGAACTTAAGGAAGTTGGCTAAAATTTTAATTCTTCTGATCATCACAAGGGTGAAATAAAGACGTGCGAAATATACGTATACACACCATAACCTAGTTCGCACTCAGTGAGTTTGGCAGCGATCAGCGAAATTTCCTTCACCGGATTTTGCTGTCAGAGGATTATGATATCCAAACTTCGCTGGACTTTTGCTTCATGGTCTCACTTGACAGAAACACTAAGTCCACATGATTGCAAGATTTCCACTGTATATATACACTTATAATACATATGATATATATCACATATTTCCGCATTTCTAGCAACTGTATCTACCGTAACTGCTTCTTACGCCTGGATAAAGATGCTAGTCACCAAGTTAGACAACTTGCCAAGCGGCTTAATGGTTGTGGCTGTTACCACCCACAGGCAACTCCATGTAGCCACAAGTGAGTCGGGTGACTAATGTAAACCATAGTAACGAAACCGTGTTGTCGTTTCATGGTAGGTTGCTGAGGCAGACCTACTGTTATTGAACAATAGGAGCACAAAGCAGATGCCTGAGGGTCATTACGTATGGCACTTAGCTAGTATTACCTAATGAATCCAGTCTCATGAAATAGTAATCCCAATGTATTCTCGAATCAATCAAGGCTGGGTTATAGCAGCAGATGGTAATGCTACAAAAACATCTTTTTATAACACCTTAGAGTGACGAACAACAAAAGACGGAGAAAGCCCACAGCCACGAGGAGCTGCTGTTCCTGATGGAAACCGGTAACCCGAGCCCCGGTACTTGAAGTGGAAAACTTAATAAGGTCCCGCTAGGTTATGTGTGGTAATGAACTGGACGACAGCAAAGCGGCCTACCAACAACGTTGGGAGGCGGCGGAGGGGCTCGGACCACGAACCACAGGGTGCACAGCACGCCGGTGACAGCGACTGGACCATTGCGCCACCGTTTACCACAAAAGATTGTATTTTGTGTAAGACAGCAACATTAGCCACACTGACCCTGCGACTAACTTAAGATATATTTCTAACACCGTACGGTAGTACACTGATCGGTCACTTCTTCGTGAAAATTGTACCATCATATATGTTCAATAGAAGGAAGTGGAGAAAACGAAATAAGTGGAAATATCACGTGTAAATTTCAAAGACGAGTTTCAAACTAATGGCACACCTGTTATCGTCGCCAGGTTCCAGTAGTGATCCACTACCCTCACTGACAGATCGCTGGCGACGGATATCACCCATGGCACCACGATCATCGGCGCAACCAACCGTCCCATGTCTTCCACTTGATCGAGGCTGCGTTTCATCCTCATCATCATAATCACTGAGACCATCGTACCCGTCCAGATCTTCATCATCAAAGTCATCGTCATCATCTTCTTCATCATCGCCGTAAGTAACATCATATGGCTCCGGTCGCATTGTCCTCCCAGTATGAGAGCTAACGTAGCGAGTCATCGCAGCTGAAGAGACGTCACATAACTTTTTACAACTTGCCTAGTTTCCGACAAACCCTTTATAGTCTCATCTTCAGGAAAATCTCTCTGGAAACGCGTGACCGAACAACGACAAGCGCAAGGGTAACGACGAGCGCAAGGGTAACGACACGCGACCTTCGACTTTTGCCCAACCAAACAACCCGCCGCGGTAACCGAAAAAAAACAATTCCTTTGTTCTTCGACCAATGGTTCAGATTCCAATTTTATCCATGTCGGGTCAGGTCAGGTCAGGTAACAGGACTAGCGGCGGATGCCGAAGAAGCGTCCAGTTTCTTGCGCAATCGAGCTCCAATGTTCTCGATGCGCTTCGACAGTTTTGAAATTATCGCCTCACTTAGCGGTACTTTCCTTAGTATGATCCAGTAGGGGTCACCTGAACGTTTATCTGAAATGGACTGGTATGGACATGTAACACGAAAAAAGACAGACACGAGTCACCTTAGCCTCTTGATTACCCGTGTAGCGTTTCTTCAACCGACAGTTTCGCAACGGCAGTTTTCTTTTCTTACCTCTTG